CAATGTGTGAAAGCCCATTTCTGGTGTCCCCCGCGGTGATATATCTGGAATATTGCTAAAAGCGGCGTAAAACCATACTCACTCACTCACTTTTAGCTATGCCAGTTTGCGCATAGACGGAATCCATTCGCAAAAATGGCCACCAGCGGGGCAGGAGTCGCCATTCGGCTTGGCCCGGAACAACACGACTGGTCAACATGCTGAAAGCCCAATGGCAGTCACAATTTTAAGAAGGACCTCCAGCCATGTAAGGAAGCACCCATTTGATATTCCATGGGGCTAGGATTTTATCGAAAAATAAGTATGCTTATAATATCAAATGGTCAGTCACTACCTTGTAACTACTGGGGTTACGAAGACACATTAAACCCACACTAACACTATCCGCGTGAAGGAACTACCACTATCAAGCCTGGGTACAGAGTTGTCGACAGGAGGAGGTAATTGTACCACGCACCATGACCCTTGACTGCAATTATAATTGTTGTCTTTTAATTTATTTGAAAACATCACAAAATGATTCAGTTTTAGAGTTTTAATACGTTTACACTTCCGGATACGACATTAGTCACGCACTCAGCCTGGTTCCCTTGGTATGCTGCGCTGGCGCAAGGAACCAGGCTGTCACGTACTCACCTTATCTACCAATGTATGGCGAATGTGTTCAGAGTGTGCCAAGAGTTTACGAACGAGTGAGTGAGTTGGGTTTTACGCCGCATAGGGCAATAATCGAGTTAAACACGACGGGACACTAAGAATAGGTTTTGCATTATATCCACTTTGGGAATCGACGTGACGGACGAACACTTCACCCACTTCCCTACTCTTCCACTGTCCTACCCGTGGTGTGACGGCCACACAGTTAGGGTTAATACTGTGACCGAGATACTGTCTACATGGACTGGTCACGTGTTGTCCATCCTACTGACGTGCTGTGCAAACATCTGATGGACGAACATTAAACCGGCCACATGTTTGTGTATTTGTAACATTATGATGTATATAGGTAACATTAACCTGTGTAGGGTATTGCTGTACTGTGCATTAATGGGCGTTGGTGGCAACGGTCGGTCTACTCCCAGCGTGACGGCGAGGTGATGTGAGGTGAGGTGAAATGGGGTTTAACGTCGCGTCCAAGATTCTTGCACTTTTTTAGCGACGTGCATGCGTGTGTGTGTGTGTTTGTGTGTGTGTGTGTGTGTGGCTGCTTGTACTAGTCCGGACTAATGCAGATTTTATAGTTTAACATGCATACTCCACTCAGACACAGTATACTGACTCCGAGCAGACCAGTCCTTGTCTTAGCCCATAAATGCCGAGCGCCCGGCAGGGAAACAACAAGTAACATCTTTCCATATCTTTTGATATGGCACGACCGAGGATCAAACCCCAGACCCTCCACTCTCCGGGCGGACCCGTGAAGATCCGGAGTAGAATAGGTCTTCAGCAACCCATGCTTGCCTTAAATGGCGACTACACTTGTCGTAAGAGGCGACTAAAGGGATGGGGTGATCAGGCTCACTGACTTGCTGACTTGGTTGATGCATGTCATCGAATCCCAACTACGTGGATCGATGCTCATGATGTCAATCACTTGATTCTTTGGTACAGACCGCCGTCAAGTAGCAAACAACAAACAAACGAACAAAAACTCTCCGGGCGGACGCTCTACCACTAGACCACGGAGGCGGTCCCCAGCATGACGTGTTAATGATATACGCTGACGTGTTCCTATCACTTGCCTATACTGTCGCTCTATTACTCATTGGCGTGTGTCAGCTAATTCCAAAACACAAAACTTTATCACTCTCTGGTCGAAATCTCCGGCAAGCGAGGTACAAATGACAATATATAAAACGTGAGACGGCGCATACAAGATTAACCGGAAAATATAACATTTTCCACTGTGAGCGTGACACAAGATATATTTCTCACAACTGATAGTTTGATATAATTAGGATCTTCTTCTTTTTTAAATATTATAACTGAGAGTTTGGTATAAATAAAAAGTGCATTAAGTTTTATATTTGGTCTTTCCAAATAGTCTGTTGGTATATGGAATTGTCTCTCTTCATTGAAATATTTACATTTAAAACTATAATGGAACTCATAACCGGTATCATCAATGTTACATACTTCACATGTCCTATCGGCCCATGATGACCCGGGGTAGAAGAGGTCTTCAGCAGTCGTGATTGCCGTAAAAGGTGACTATGCTTGTCGTAAGATACGACCAACGGGAGCGGGTGGTCAGACTCGCTGACTTGGTTGATGCATGTCATCGCATCCAAATTGCGCGGATCGATGTTCATGATGTCAATCACTGCATTGTCTGGTCCAGACTCGATTATTTTCAGACCGCCGTCATATAGCTGGAATATTGTTGATTGTGGCGTTAAACAACAAACAAACAAACAAACATGTCCTGTCCTCACAGAGTGAAGCTCCACCCAGTGATCAGACGCGCCACAGTTCCCTGTGAAGAATGGTGTCCCGTAGTTCAGCTCGAACCTTGGTTTGGTAGCTCCTGGTTTTACTGAGTAAACGTTTATATCTATAGGGGGCGGTAAGGTAGTCTTCTGGTTAAAGCGTTCATTCGTCACGCCGAAGGCCGGGTTCGATTCCACACATGGGTACAATGTGTGAAGCCCATTTCTGATGCTCCCCGCTGTAATATTGCTGGAATGTTACTAGAAGCAGCGTAAAGCCACACTCACTCACTAGATCTATATCCCGGGATCAACTTATATATATTACTGACACGCCGCGACACAGCTCTGTGTGGATACTTATGTACCTGTGAGATACAGGCCAAGGCAGGAGTTGCTGCTATTGTCTAATCTCATGTCGACGATCGCATAGAACTTACACACAACCACCACATGTAAAATACTGTTCCGAAGTGGCGTCAAAACCCAACTCACTTACTCGAAAACCGAGAAACAACGGCTCCGATTCACAGTGTTATTATAGATGTACCTCGTTCAGGCCGGACCCCGGGTAGAAGGTGAGGTGAGGTGAAATGGGGTTTAACGTCGCGTCCAAGAATATTGCACTTATATAGCGACGTGCATGCACGTGTGTGTGTGTGGCTGCTTGTACTAGTCCGGACTGATGCCAATTTATAGTGCTAGCTCACTGAGACACCATGCCGCAGTTAAACATGAATACCCCTCTCAGACACAGTATACTGATCCGAGTCCTTGTTTCAACCCCTTAATGCCGAGCGCCAGACAAGGTAACAACAAGTACCATCTTTTCACGTCTTTTGGTATGACGAGGTCGGGGATCGACCCCCGGACCCTCCGCCCTCCGGGCGGACGCTCTACCACTTGATCACGGAGGCGGTCCACCCCGGGTAGGAAATATCCCCGTCTGAATGGCAGGGTAAATATCGTGTACTCCGCTACAACAAGGCTGCAGTATTTATCTTCCAGCCATCTCCTACACCTGCTCTGTGCTGGTAGCCCCGGGCTCGTGACAGGGTATATCCTCTGTCAGGACAAGTACAGCTCCGCCGTTGAACACTACCCCATTGGTGCAGTTCCCTTTAACGCTAATTTATTCTATATTTTAAACAATTTGACAAGCTTTACCAAGCATTTTCACATTTTTAAAACATATCATTTCAAAGCCCGTTGTCAAGACTTGAATATTTAAGGAAGTCGACAAATGCGTTATACTATTTAAAAGCGTTTGTTGTTTAACGCCGCACTCGGGAATGTTCTAACAATATATGACGGCGGTCGGTGACTTCGTTGATGGGGTGTCAACGGCTTGGATCGTTGCTCATAATATCGACCATTGGATTGTCTGGTCCAGACTCGAGTATTTACCGGCCGTCGTCACATAGACGGATATTGCTATTACTATATTGAGTTCGGCGTTTAACAACAAGCACACAGGTTTCAAGGCTAAACCTCCGACTAACGAGTTATACAATTCAGAACACATAAACCTCCCCTACACGACTGCATATCAGGACTGCATATCAGCCACCATTACAAGTTTAATAGTCGCGTTCGCGGGAAGACGGACCTGGCGTGTATGTGTCACACATCTCATGTTGCCCATGATGGTAATGGTAGATTTACTGTTAAGTCCCCGGTGATGTGTCAGGAATCAAATAGTAAAATTAAGAAAATACAATAGGCTCTGTTAGCATGGCCCTAGCCTTGCTACAAGGCTGTACTGAACGAAAATGTCCATGGATGTGTAGTAATTCTATCATCCGAATAGGCAAGTCTACATATATGCAAAGGACTTCAGTCTCTCGTAGGGATCGACAACTTGTTCATATTATTTAGATCTACATAATCTAGAACTTATGATTTAAACTAATACTTATTGCCTAAGAGATTTGTGCAAGTCTAGCATGGCCCTTGTATCCTTGTATATATTCAAATTAATATCTACATTCCGTTAATTTGAAACCCCGATATTCTGCTTCCTGGTTGTTTCGAACGAGTTAGGTTGAAAAGACCCTGTCTGGGTTAACGAGGCTGGGTTGTAATGTATGCATATTGCTAAAGGTCGCACACAGTTACAGCATGGGAATGTCGAAACCGTCCTGTCACCTGACATTACCACTGCCACGATTAACACAGACTGAAAACACACGGATCTCCCAAACACTGGTGAATAGACCTAACGCGGTGTTTTATTTCACAGATAAAGTTAATTTGAGCGGTCAGACAGTAGTATACCTCGAAACGTACTTCTTCCATGGGTCACCAGTAAGGTCACGGTGACCCGATGAACCAAACTCTCGATCCCTTGAACCAAGCCATCACATTCCATCACGCCTTTTTGAGAAACACGCTGCCCACTAGCCGATCATGTTCATCTGTATATGAATCTGGTCTAATTGCAGCTGTTGCTTCCCCAGTACTGGGAGTGTAAGCAGATACAGCCAATATGCATACGATGACAGACGATAAAACACAAGCAGACAATCGATCGGGAATGATTGCTCAGCATTTTCTGTGTAGCGGGGCTTGCATCAGAAGCCCGGCAGGGTCATTACATCATTGCATGTTACAAACTTAACGGGAAGACACTGGGAAAGTGATGAGCGACGTCTGGTAGAATAATATACCCTGTTTACCATTGGATATATACCCGAGAGGAAGGCCGGCTTATTTAACGGGGTGATAATCTCGTCTGCTCGCACACCGTCAGGCAGTTTGATTACCGCGTTCGCTGCAGCAGCCGTGAGATCTGCTAGCTGTCAAATATACCTGTGGTTTCACTGACAGCACAGCCCGATTTACCGCCGTCCTACATAGGAAGTGTCACGTGACCTATTCACGGTCGCAGTTTGCCGATTGAGAAGCGACTGTGATATTGTGTCGTCTGTTTTTGTTGCAACTCGACTAATCTGGATTTTTCTGCATTGACAACCACTGACGATAACAGATAAGGTAGGTGTGAAGTGATATACACTTTTTATTTACTGTCACATGAAACGTCTCATGTCTACCGGTGTATGTAGATATACTATAGGTACATACGGTCTTGTATCCACCGGCCCGCCATTCATGTGTACTCTTATCGCATGAGATCATAGTTCTGGTAATTTAGGGGGGGCTAACTTTTATATATATAGTTAATCCAATGTGCCTCCGATGTTTAACGTGTTGACAGAAATTGCCTGACACGTATCGTATTTCATGCTAAAAGTGTCGCCAGCATCAGGTGAACTTGTAAAATTTGTAATAAGGGACTTATACTTGGATTTCTACTGGGTCCGACCTCACACTCATTTCACATCAATTCCCTGACAGATTATATGACTACTGTGTCTGTACTGAAATATTGTGTGGGTGTGGTGGTCGCCCAACGTGGCCGCTGTGGTGCTCAGTCAGCTGAGCCGGAAGCACTGGCGCGTGAAGCGACGAGCAGACGACATGGGGCACCATTGAAGGGTGACACTCTAACATGATGGTGGACTGAACGTTAATACCAGACCGCAATCTAGTTTCTTTATATTGGTGGTTTCGGTGTGTCTGTTGTCCCAAACAAGGCATGAATCTCTTGTGTTACTGTTTCACGATTCCCGCGTTTTTATAGGAGAAACTCCCAATGTTTAGCAGACGACAAATGGACGTTCAGAAGACAACATCGCAATGCTACTATATGAATAAATTAAACGCCTCACTTCTAAAAACAGTGTGTTTTTTAATAGAAGGTTCACCAAGTTGGGAAAATTTAACTTATGTTAAGAATACAACAGTTGAAGTTTAATAATACATTTGCATGTATGTAGGCATGTGTATACGAAACATGATGTCTATAGACTATAGTTCGTGTCCCGTAACACTTGTCTATTTCACTATTTGGACACTTCATGGAGTCAACACATCGACGTTGCCATGGCAGCCAGTAAACAGTACCATTAATATATTTACTTTTCATATTGATCAAATATAGAAATTCATCTCAACATATTTTCTAAAAACACACACTGGCGGATGTTACAAGATTTGAAGGCAGGGTTGAATATTTTACTGTGACATCACGTAGGTGTGGCATTCTTTGCCATAGGTGGCTGTTTAGGAATAAGTTAGAATAATCGTTTGGTGACAGCCTTGATTTATCGATGAAAATAACGGAAATGATAAACTTGACGGACCTTATGACAGTTGTTAATATTTTGGCTAATTAACTAGAATACGTTCTTTGTTTCCATAATGAAATTGTTCGGTGTAACAGATAAGTACTCAGGTACTTTGGAACATGCTGCACCAGCGTTTGTTTCCATCAACCAGCATGCATTAATGTTTCAATGAAGTTAAATTCAGGACTTCAATGAGCTTGGTTTCCTGTGTAATTCGAAATACCCGTCACAATAAGCTCGCCAACATCGTTTCAGGTCGGCTGACTTAACAGCGCTATGTTAACTAGTCACGCTGACTATTGAACAGTATCGGACATAAGTATCCCATCTATAAACTACTGAGTGAGCGATCGACCCGCTTCATTGTGTGTGTATAGGCTGCCTAACATAAATATATGTAAAGACGGGATACATTGAAATATGTGTCCGACGTCTTCACTGCCGATCAAACAGTTTATACCCACTGTTCTGTATATAGACACGAGTATATATCAATGTGATGGATTAAATATGCGTGTGCCTGGGGCAGTGACGAAATATGTCGATGACTTTAATTGCTTCATTGTAGCCCAGCACGGCAGTTTGTCTCGGGGAGATTTTTTCACCTTAATCTGACCTGTCAGTGTGAGGTACATGAGCCTCCCACGGGCCTCCCAAGGGCCTCCCACGGGCCTCTCCCAGGGGCTGTCTCGCGTACATTATGGCAACCAGGCAGCTACTCGGGGCTCTTGTGAAACACCTTCGTTTTCTTATCTTCATATATTCGCATGGGTAGTAAATGGGAGTGATTTCTTTCGACATGACACTGCTTCAAGCTCCGTGGGTGTAGTCATTGGTTATATACCTGACTGTGACATATACAAGGTCAGCCTTTGTGGCTGTATGTGTGCTTGTATTGATTTTGTTATTTAGTTACATCGTCATGGCTAAAAACAATAATCAGATCAAAAATCAACTAGGCGGTTAATTTATATTTTTAGAAATAACACTATAGTTGATATGTTTTTCCTTCTGGTAAATTATATATTGGCCAGTCAAATATCAGTCATTAGAATCTATCTATATTATTTATTTTTCCTTCTCGGACCCCAATGGGAATTCCGGGGTAAAATTAGCCATAGTGAAATGCATATTGCTGATTGAATGAAGGATTGGTTGGTCATAATCTGAGACGTGGAATGAGTGTCGCCCCAACACTCGGTTATACGCCATGATGTAGTCGGAACATTGCTGACTGCGGCGTACAATAACATTCACTCACTCCACATTTGGGAAACCGCTAGCACGTTATGGTTCAGACAAACCACGGTTTACCATAAAGATGAAATGACCCATAACGATCCCATCCTGACGAACACCCTCGCCCTTTGACTACCCAGCATCAATATAAACCCTCCAGGTCTTGCAGGTACTTGTGTACGCTGATTTTGTGGTAGAGGCTTCAATATGTGAAGCCCCTTTCTGGTCGTGATATTGCTGGAATTTTGCCAAAAGCGGCATAAACCATACCCACTCTGTCGGTGCAGCTTTGCAGATACATGTCTATATTAGTCATCAATTGTTCTTTACAGTTCCACTCTTGGGCGCAAAGTCCCATAAATCGTATTACAGACATGTTCGGTAGTATGAATCATTTGAATAGCTATCTACTTGATGTGTGGTCTGACCCATTGGTCCTTAAGCCTGGTTGGTGTAACGTATGCTGGAACACGCCTGTTTGCCGGTATGATGCTTCATAGACTCTGCTAGAGCTGCGATGGCGAAGTCATGTAGTACAGAGTACAGGGAATGTATTGTACAGCTCCTGTATTTAGAGTTTGTTCATCGTGGTGTGGGGGTAGCCTAGCGGGTTAAGCGTTCGCTCGTCACGCCGAAAACCCGGGTTCGATTCCCAAAATGGGTACAATGTGTGAAGCCCATTTTTGGTGTTCCACGCCGTGATATTGCTGGAATATTGCTACAAGTGACGTAAAACGATACTCACTCACTCGTGGTGTGTGTATCAGCTACAAAATGTCGAAATCTACCCCGCCAGTGATAGTTGACGTCATGGCCGTGGGAAATGTTGTACACATATCAGAAGAAAAGAGTTGTATAAGTATTGTGACAGCTGCAGTATTGCAGTATATTGTTCCCAGTGTGCAGAATATAGCTAGACCTTTATTAAACTATATTGCAGTATATCGGCCCACACCACACGCAATCGGGCCCCCGAAATGGATGCATGCGGCCTTTCCCTGACGAACTAGTCTGATGTAGAAACACCTTTTGTGTCCTTCACACGTCCACTATGTACAAAGAAATAATCCACAGAATACATCTTAGCAACAACCTGTCTACATCACAACCACTCTTCTCCATTCTTATTCGTCCGTCTTTCGTTGTCCCTATCTTTTTTATCAAACCCTCCATTATTCTTTTCATGTCCAAGTTTTCTATAAACAACCCTCTGACCCTTTTGATGTCAATAGAGTCCTTCAGAGGGACCGATGCACTGTAGATAAAAAGGGCGCAATGCTTTTAGGAGATATTGCTGTACTTGATGTACTATAGTAGCTGTGTAAAGCGATGGCAGGAACGTCATTGTGAGCCAGCATTGTGTCAAGGCGCTGCGGTACAGGTGCTCCTGGATAGGTCTGTTCGCGCAGGATACAAAGGATGTCTGTGTCGGACAGCTGAACATCAAGCAAGTTGGACGATTAAGATATGGCAATACAGGGTTGAAATTTACAGCAAACTGAATATACGTAAGAGCATCGCAGTTTACGTTTTCCAACGATATGATTTTCATTGTGTGTACCGTCAGCCCCATGCAATTCGAACACCCCTTCTCCGGAGCCTCTTGCAGCTTTCTCTTCATTGTGTGTAGCGTCAGCCCTATGCAATTCGAACACCCCTTCTCCGGAGCCTCTTGCAGCTTTCTCCTCATTGTGTGTAGCGTCAGCCCCATGCAATTCGAACACCCCTTCTCCGGAGCCTCTTGCAGCTTTCTCTTCATTGTGTGTAGCGTCAGCCCTATGCAATTCGAACACCCCTTCTCCGGAGCCTCCTGTAGCTTTCTCCTCATTGTGTGTAGCGTCAGCCCTATGCAATTCGAACACCCCTTCTCCGGAGCCTCCTGTAGCTTTCTCCTCATTGTGTGTAGCGTCAGCCCTATGCAATTCGAACACCCCTTCTCCGGAGCCTCCTGCAGCTTTCTCCTCATTGTGTGTAGCGTCAGCCCTATGCAATTCGAACACCCCTTCTCCGGAGCCTCCTGCAGCTTTCTCCTCATTGTGTGTAGCGTCAGCCCTATGCAATTCGAACACCCCTTCTCCGGAGCCTCTTGCAGCTTTCTCTTCATTGTGTGTAGCGTCAGCCCTATGCAATTCGAACACCCCTTCTCCGGAGCCTCCTGCAGCTTTCTCTTCATTGTGTGTAGCGTCAGCCCTATGCAATTCGAACACCCCTTCTCCGGAGCCTCCTGCAGCTTTCTCTTCATTGTGTGTAGCGTCAGCCCTATGCAATTCGAACACCTCTTCTCCGGAGCCTCCTGCAGCTTTCTCCTCATTGTGTGTAGCGTCAGCCCTATGCAATTCGAACACCCCTTCTCCGGAGCCTCTTGCAGCTTTCTCTTCATTGTGTGTAGCGTCAGCCCTATGCAATTCGAACACCCCTTCTCCGGAGCCTCTTGCAGCTTTCTCTTCATTGTGTGTAGCGTCAGCCCTATGCAATTCGAACACCCCTTCTCCGGAGCCTCTTGCAGCTTTCTCTTCATTGTGGCCACGAGAGGAAACACAAACCAAACATGACAGTGATCAACAGTTGATGCGCTTGTTCAGTGTTTGTATTCATTGTACCGTACTATTTCTCCAGTCTTTTCTCTCTAAGGTCACTATCAATTTATAAATTGATCTTAATTTATCTTATTTTTATTTTTCTTAAACAAATTGTTCAAGGTGAACGTATGTTCCCAACGAGGACATAATTATGGAATGGCACGCGCAGCAGGTGACGTGTCAGCAATGGCCAATGGTCACAGATCTGAAAAGCTACCAGCTGATTGTGGATTATTATCACATCTGACCCAATATATTTCATCAAGAAAGGAAACAAACTAAAAATCATAGCGTTTTTTCTGTAGGTATTTCGAGACAATAAAATGATATGATGTGTGTGAGTTAGGAGCTGGACTGAGAGGAAGATCTTTAAGCAGTGTATTATCTAGTGTCACACATGCACGTACCGTGCACCCCCGTTAACCCCAACACTTGACCTCCGATCTACGCAATTGGTATACAATATGAAATACATCAAACAATTCAGCGGGGGCGCGGGTGGCCCGGTCGTCTAAGGCGCCGCGATTCGCTGTGCAAAGTTGCGCCCCTTGGGCACGCCAGTAACCTATGATTGTGGGTTCAAATCACAGTTCGCCCCGATTATGTTACTAGGTTTGGCAGCACCATACCCGTGCTTGTGGGTTTGACCAAAGTGGTAAACGTCTGAGACCTGCATCACTTCGGGCTTTCTTCCCACATTAAGCTGACACGCCGCGATATAACCGGAATACTGTTAAAAGCGGCGCTAAACCCAACTCACTCACTCACTCACTCACTCACTCACTCACTCACTCACTCAACAAAGTCAGCAAGGCTGACAACCCGATCGCGTAAGACGCGTGTTTTGCTGAAGACCAATTCTAACCCGGATGTTAACGTGGTTGACCCTCATGAAGCCGTGAACTTTATGAAACCAGGATCATCTTTGTACTTAAACACTGCTAGATCAAATCAAGATTATCGAACTCAAGATTGCAGACGAAGAATTGTGTCTAATTAATAGCAGCAAAAAATAACCATGACCCACAAATTAATATTATTTGCATCAGATGAATGTTATTTGATTTGATTCAGACTGCCAGGGGTCCTCACCATTGATCCGTGAAAAAAACATGTGGGTCCCCTGGCGATAGATTTCTAACACCTGGCCTGTTATTTTCACAGTTAATGATCACATGACCCATTATTGTGCACATCAATCTGAATGTTTGAATAATCAGACAATGTGTACCGGCCGAGTACATACAGGGAGGTATGGGGGATTTTTTATGTGAGACAATAATTTCAATTTCAGCAAATATTGACTCGCTTCACAGTATTTTTCAAATCAACCGGTATGTCCAGTGTACGCTTTAGTTTTTTGGGGAAACCTGAGTTTTCCAGCATTATATATATATATAATAATAATAATAATAATAATAATATTATTATTATTATTATTATTATTATTATTATTATTATTATTATTATTATCACAGCCATATTATTGAATCACAGCTGCCCTACCCCTCCTCGGAACATGAAATGGTCGTTCCCGAAGTCGTCTCAGGTCCCAGTCGACGTAGGAGTCGGTTGTGTGGAGGTTGTTGGCAACGGGGCGACTATCAGATAGCATCCATAAACTACAACAATATGGACATGCCTCAATAGGCCACGTCATCGGATGTGGTCAGCTGACCACAAGTGGCGATAAACCAGCGTTGATCAACAATAAAGTCGGACAGCGCCAGGGGCGTCGACTACGGCGGTCCGTTGGTGACCGCATAATTGCTCTAGTTAAGCGCTTATCGCTGTGCACAGGGGTATCGGGGGAGTCGATGGAGCTGCTGCCTTGTTTGTCCAGTGGATGGTGATTCTGTTCGTCTTTCCTAAATGCTAGATACCTAAGTGCATATTTGAGTTCCATGTCGATGGTGATGTACATTAATGCTATTGGTAGAACATCGCTCAAACCTAGCCAACTCACCCCTCGCATCCACTGCCCTGACCATTACCTTGTTATGACCCTTCACTTCCACTGACCTTTGACTATGACACACCCTCGATCTCTCCCATTCACTTCACCACGCCCTTGATCCCCCACTCACCTGACCATGCCCTCGATCTCTCCCACTCACTTCACCACGCCCTTGATCCCCCACTCACCCGACCACACCCTCGATCTCCCACTCAACTGACCACATCCTCGATCTCTCCCACTCACCTGACTACATCCTCGATCTCTCCCACTCACCTGACCACACCCTCGATCGACCACACCCTCGATCTCCCAATCACCTGACCACGCCCTCAATCTCACACTAACCTGACCACGCCCTCTATCTCACACTCACCTGACCACACCCTCGATCTCCCACTCACCTGACCACACCCTCGATCTCCCACTCACCTGACCACACCCTCGATCTCCCACTCACCTGACCACGCCCTCAATCTCACACTCACATGGCCACACCCTCGACCCCTACTCACGTGTCCACGCACTCAATCTCCCACTCACCTGACCACGCCCTTGATCCCCCACTCACCTGACCATGCACTCGATCTCCCAATCAAATGACCACACCCTCGACCTCCCACTCACCTGACCACGCCCTTGATCCCCCACTCACCTGACCATGCACTCGATCTCCCACTCAAATGACCACTCTCGACCCTCCACTCACCTGACCACGCCCTCTATCTCCCACTCACCCGAACATGCACTCGATCTCCCACTCACCTGACCATGCACTCGATCTCCCACTCACCTGACCACGCCCTCGATCTCCCACTCACCTGACCACGCCCTCGATCCCTCCACTCACCTGATCACGCCCTCGATCTCCCACTCACCTGATCACGCCCTCGATCTCCCACTCACCTGACCACGCCCTCGATCTCCCACTCACCTGACCACGCCCTCGATCTCCCACTCACCTGACCACGCCCTCGATCTCCCACTCACCTGACCACGCCCTCGATCCCTCCACTCACCTGACCACGCCCTCGATCCCTCCACTCACCTGACCACGCCCTCGATCTCCCACTCACCTGACCACGCCCACGACCACCCCTCCACTCACCTGACCACGCCCTAGATCCCTCCACTCACCTGACTACGCCCTCGATCCCTTCCATTCACCTGACCAGGTTCCATTCACCTGACCACGCCCTTGATTCGCTTGACCACACCCTTGTTTTACTTGACCACGCCCCTGATTCACCACTTACCATGCCCTTGATTTACGTGACATTGATCTCCATGCACCTGTCCAGTAACTAACAGCCAGTTTGCATAGAAAAGCACGCTTTAGATTTATGCGAATCATTAACGAAAGAAATATTCCTATTATATTTGACAAGGGTTGAGCATGTGGTACATGTTGTGTTCTTGTGCTATGTGTTTACAGAAGGCACACATACAGGACAGTACCTCACAAATACACCACACAGAGAACTCAGCTTCTTCATTCAGACGTTATCTGATATCAACGTATAATACTCAGTTTGGGAAATACGAAACAATGAATTTGGAGAAAGATATATATCAACAATTCATTTATATTGTGATAAGATGACGCACTTCATGAACTCTGTATTTTGGCCGGACACCTTAGATAAATAAAACTTCTTCTTCCTTGACTTTAACCTTTCCCCGCCCTGACCTTTCACCTGACCCCGTCCTTGACCCCGACCCTACGTCTTCATCGGTTTTCGTGTTGCAATGTGGCTGTGTGGCTCGTACGCCACGTGTTTATATCTCGTGGGTGTGAGACCTAATTTAGGAACTATCGCCACAGAGCATTAATACTGGATGTGGTTGTCTGCGTCAGTCAGCCGCAATGATTTTGTCATATAGGTCCTTGGTTAACCCATATTAATCAAATCTTCATTAGCCAATACATGTGTTTTATTAGATGTTTGGTCCTCTATACACTACCTGACACGATGGCGTTAATTAACGTTAGTGTGTGGTAAGGTACACGGATCAAGCCGTCTATTCATCCCCAGATAGTGCTTGCCTCAACAAGCCAATAGGTGACCATAGCGGCTGTGTGGCGGTCACATATCTGCTGATGTTAACTCTAGATGAAGAGCCATAATGGTAGAATTGCAAAAATGGAATCGTGTGTTTACCTTGTCAACTGTTTTGATTTGTTTGGTAGGCATTACTTAGAGTGGGTGAGTGAGTTTGGTTTTACGCCGCTTTTAGCAATATTCCAGCAATATCACGGCGGGGGACACCAGAAATGGGCTTCACACATTGTACCCATGTCGGGAATCGAACCCGGGTCTTCGGCGTGACGAGCGAACGCTTTAACCACTAGGCTACCCGACCGCCCCCATTACTTAGAAGTTGAGGGATGACAAAGTAGACTCAAGTTTCCGTATAGATCCTTATACCGTTGTCAAGCAATCCTCTACTGTTAATCCTCCACCTACTATATACATTCTGTACAATGTTCCTCAGTCAGTCTTGCTTGTCTCAGAAGATAGAATACTCGAAACTGGTGACCTGGTCGGGATATTGATGTAGCGATGCTGATATTACATGCGTCAGTCTAATCACCTCGTTAAGTACTTCAAACTTAACCAGATTCAAACTAAATAATTAAATCTTGACGACGGCTCTGATAAAAGAGCTCTTACGTCAGACATGTTGAACGCTCTCCTTGCCGTCGGAATTACTGCCCTGTCATTGGCCAAGATCAATACGAACTCTTCAGCAGTGTTGGGTTCAAACGTTGCTGTAATGTCCATATTCGCTGAGAATTTTGAAACATGGTCGTTTTTTTCTTCTGGGCTTTATGCAAGGCTGGTCAATATAATTTTCCAAACCACTTGCGTCGATCAAGACAGTAAATATGTTAATAACGACAGAGTTGGAATCAGTTCATGCTATTGTTTATTTTATCAATATATTCATTTAGAAATACTGGCATCCCATTAAAGTGACGAGTGCCATGCAGGTTTTGCAAATTGTAGGCGATCTTGACTGGCGTGAAGACATAAAATCCATTTTTGTTTCATTGATTTGATAATTCTCTTTTCAAAGGCTTTAACCCAACTTTATGTTACTCAATGAGGTTTTTGCTTTAACAAACGCGTCCATCGACTGTTGCATTGGCGGGAATCTCTGGCTTTGGGACAGAGCGAGGGAATCTAATGGGCAAAGCTAATGCTGCCATTGACGCCGTCGGGAACAACTTCATCGTCTACCAAACAGAAATCCTCTGAATGATTAAGAGCGAGTACTGAGTGCAGAGAACAGCTTTTCTTTCGTCCCATTGAAATTTTATTCCTCGGTTAAGAATTATTCGATTCCGAGGTGGTAGGTTACGGATATTACCCAGTACGCCACATTGATGCCATGTATGTGATATGTCGACTGAAAACAGATTATGGTCCTAAATGCATCGTTTGTGCAATATCGTCTCACCGAGATGAGATACGTGAAACTCCTTTGTTTCACAATCTGTGGTATTTTGCGGTGCTGATAAATAGTAATTAGAATTAAAGTCTCTGAGTACGCAGATAACCCTGGTCTAAGTCATTCTTTACTGAAATAATACCTCATACTTGTTTGAACGGAGGACTAACGATCGTCGGTGGTACTAATGTGTGACCTCGTCACCTTCTTATTAGGGAAAGGATTTGCCGCTTTCATTTATCGTGAATGAAAACAAAAACACCCAAAATGGGTTTTACACAATTTACCATTGTGGGGGTTTGAACGCAGGCCTCCCCGTGACGAGCGACAAGATTTCCAAACCCGTCATTGCACGTACCTCCACAGCGTGGATCGTTGGCCATACTCTCTACCAATGATTCGTCCAGGTCACACACGATGTTTACAACAGGTCGTCATGGAACATTCACACACTCAGTCGATGTTTAAAACGGACAAAATGTCGCACGGTGAAACCTCGTGAACCTGTTAATCATCGACATTGTATCGAGCTATGCGTAGTTCGACAAAAGCAGACTACCCATGTGGGTTTAACGTTCTGCTAAGGATTCCACCGGTACCAAACAAGTAAAGGAGTTCGAGTTAACGAGGGTTATCTGTATTCGTCTTTCACTTCGAGATATGAAAAGTCGATTTCATATATATTTGTATAGCCAACTGGGCAGATTTTGTGTCCAAACGATGAAGTGCAAAAAAGCTCCCCAACAATGAAGCGAATGTCAAAAGGTGCACGGCCCGAACGCTGATTCTTCTAACAGAGCAAACATATACGCTCGGTGTTTTCAGCGACCTACTCCAGAAAAAGGGAGACAATCGTGTAAAAGGTACAAAGGCCAGAATGTTAACGATCTAAATAAATAGGCTGCTGAGTTTTTATTTCCTTTTTTCCTTGTAGTCAATGTAAAGAGTCTATCTGCTGTATCCCTGGCTCCCCAGTCGATCGCGGCTCAGGTGTTGGTCTTTCAACTTGTGGTCGGGAGTCGATGTCTGTTGACTTGCGTCTCACCTCCGTGTTGACACCTGGCTTACACCTGGGCCTTACTTCAATTAAGCCACTCATGTAACTTACAGGTAACACACAGGTAATGGCGGCTTCTTGACTCAGGTGTCTTCTACATTCAGTGTGTAGGGCTTACCAAACCACACTGGTTACACGTCGCTGAGATTGTGCATTATGATTATACAACAACTTACATTTATTGGGAATTATGTGTGGGTTGAATAGGGTAGGGTATACGGGTAGTTATGTGTGCATTTTGAATTCTGCAACTAGCATATGTTTTAACGCGCCACGTCATAAGATTTGCTTCTTAGCAACTCAGGAATATCCCAGCTATATGACAGCGGTCTGTAAATAATCGAGTCTAGACCAGACAATCCGGTGATTAATATCATAAACATCGATCCACGCAAATGGGATAGAATGACATGCATCAACCAAGTCAGCGAGCCTGACCACTTGATCCCGTTAGTTACCTCTTACGACAAGCATAGTCGCCTTTTACGGCAAACATGGTTTGCTGAAGACCTATACTAACACGGATGTTCACGGGTCACGTCACCAGATATAAGCATAGGTCTGGGGACCAATTCTAACCCGGCATGCCCACGGAGGTCAGAAAGTGTACGTTTCTCATGGTCTGTCTGTTCAAGGAGCCTCCAGCAGATGAAGGATGGTGTTGAAATGGTAGTGAAAAGTTTTCAACTCGTTTGCTTTGTTTTTATAGTCTT